TTTAGTATACTTTCAACTGTTAAGAATTAATATGTTGTTCAATTTCAAGTTTAAATTTTGTTGCTTCAGGCACTGTTCAGGCACCCGAACTGTTTTTAAAGTATTGTTTTAGCACCAGCATCGGAAGGAAAAACACAAATGATGCCAACCCTAGTTCTGAGTGGCCATTCAAAGGCAGAGTGAAAAGGCAGCCATCATGGAGATGTGTAATGATCATTTAAATATGGGGATGGCAGAGGAAATTTTCCAAAAGTCTTTTCTGGAAGACATTCGTGGTGTTGTGTGTACTCTGCACCCTGCCCACTTTCTCACTTCCACACAGCTGGCCAATCACTGTGCGAAGTGGGTGTGAACGTCAGATTGTCGGTTTCGCAAAGTCGCAGAAATTGTTGGAGGCTTCCGAAGCTGTTCGTCTATCTGACAGATAGTTCTAATGCAGTATACTTTTGCAAAGGTGTGTTTAAAGGATTAGGTGAATATTTTGTTTTACTCTGCCCTAACTGATCAGTAGCAGCTGACGTTCCCAATTCCGACCTCATTTACAGTCGTCAGGATGCTATGATGGTGATCATGAGGAACAGCATGAAGTTTTTCACAATCAGAAATTGTTAAGTTTAAGAGTTTTTATTGAGTCACCACAACTGCGTCAGTCTCATTGAGACTTGCTGTCATTTTTGTGGCCATTTTTCTGTTGCTAATTTTCATGGATGTAGCTAGAAAGCCATACAAGGAGATGAGGTTGCACAAACCGGTGGATACAGCTGTCACTAAGCACAAATGAGAGATGTGGATGGCAAGGCCTGGGAATGTATATCAATATTCTATCTATCTTAAAGGATAACTTTGGTATTTTTCGACCTGGGCCCTATTTCCCTATGTGTATGTGTGCGTATGATTCATAGGTACAACTCGTTCTAAAATTGGTTCAGTATTGAGGGAGGCAGATGCAGCCGGCAGCCGGGAAACAAGCTAAAACGGTAACGGGGGCAAATGCGTCCCGTATAAGTTTGTGCATTAAAAGTGCTTTTTTCTGCCACTGACCGGTTCAGATCGCCAGTGTTATCTCTGTAAATAGCATGCTAAGCATTTCGAACATTGTTTATATAACATTACCTCCACTGTGTCTGTAGCTCTCTCTACTCGTGGGACAGCCGTTTTCTTGAGGAAGAGGTGTTTCGGGATTGGATGTCTTCTCTTCTTCGGCTGGCAGTAGTCATCTTGGGAGAAGTGAGCACTGCAGACCCGATGGTCTGCAAGGCACAGTGTCTGGATAGGAGTGTTAGCATCCATTTGTAGCACAACTAGCCACAACTTCAGCATCTCGCCGAAGTCCGACAAAGGCAGCCTGTGAAAGCTGTACAGGGTGTTGCGCGACATCCTGTTCTTGCAATTCGGATAAGCACAAACACGAACCATTGTTTTCAATCGATGCAGTAAAACACTAAACTGTACTCCGGGACAACCAGCGCCACTCTGAGCGGCGCTCAGCATGGCTCCTCTGTTTTCTTCTGGCAACAAGCAAAGCTCTCGCGAGATGACGTCACAGCCCAGAGGAAGTGAAGGGTAAGGGAAACCCTTAGTATGCTATTTACAGAGATAACACTGGCGATCTGAACCGGTCAGTGGCGATAAAAAACACTTTTAATGCACAAACTTATACGGGACGCATTTGCCCCCGTTACCGTTTTAGTTCGTTTCGCGGCTGCCAGCTGCATCCGCCTCCCTCAATACTGAACCAATTTTAGAACGAGTTGTACCTATGAATCAAACGCACACATACACATGGGGAAATAGGGCCCAGGTTGAAAAATACCGAAGTTATCCTTTAATATGAGACTAGACATTGTGTTAGCTTTTGGATATTGTAAGTTTGTAAGGGTTGTCTTTTCCTGGTTTTTAAAGGCTGTGTTACAGTAAAGTGTTGTAATTTTCGGACCTTACCAGACTGTTCTGTTCTATTATTCACCTTTACCTATTTAGTTATTATATCCACATTACTGATTTATCAAAAATCCCATTGTGTAAATACTTTGTGGAAGCACTAGTAGTCAGCCCTGCAGTATTGTTGCAATATCAAAATCAAAGTATTTGGTCAAAGATATTGTGGTATTTGATTTTCTCTATATCGCCAAGCACTAGTTGCAGTGATTCAGAGATCTGGAACCAGAGCAAACAAACAAACAGTTAAAATATGATTATCTTCTTCTTGTTTGTAGCTACTTTCCTGTTTTGTGAGCAAGTATATAGCAACCAGATACTCTGCGTGGTGTACCTGCAGCCCCCAATGTGGTGATTATTTTGAAGATAATGAAACTGTTAGGATCTTTATCTGGTTTTTCAAGCATTCCCTTTAGAAACAATATACACTGAGCCCAAGAAGCCTGAGCTGTAACCACTGTTGCTTTGTGTGGGTTTCTTAAAGACAGAAATTCTGTCTCATCTGCATTTTGTCATTAATAAGGAAACTGTGAATGTGAAAATGTCCCCACCTAATTATCAAAACAGTGGGAACACAGTGCGTTTTCACTAAGCTGTGTTTCTCATTCTACCTGTAAAATATTCTTCAGGCTGTGAGGTAGACTAACACCTCCACAGTGTTCTCGCTGAATGTCTGAGTTTCAGAGGATCCTTAAAAGGCCATTAGAGATGTGCTACAAAAATAGATGATGTGCATCAATTTGCATCAATTTAACAAGAGTGGCACAGCTTTATACTGTATTTCCTCAGAGCCCAGACTGTATGTCTGTGTCAGAGGGGACAACTGGCCTTAAATGACCCTTGACAACAACATCCAGATCACAAAATAACCTTATTTAAAGAGGGTTGTACAGCTCATCTGGTTCCATATTTAATGTTATTTTTCTGTGGGAATTATTCTCAGCAGAAACAACAATGATGCATCGCTTTGTTGTTTACAGTCTGGAGTAGGACTTCATGTTGTCTGTGTCATCTGAGTGCAACATGACTTCATGTGGTGTCTGATAGCAGCATCCTGGCTTGGGATTTAGGATTAAGCCCTTGTGGAGGATTAGGCACTTTAAATAGATTTGAGAAAATACCTGTATTTTATTCAGAAATAGATAAAGTAGTTTGGTTGTTAAATGGATCATCGTGTACATCTTTTGTTCTCAGCTCTCTGAACATATCCAGTTGATCTTGTGGCACCACCATGTGGTCGTAAAATTAACATGCATTCTTTACTCTGGAAAAGATGCTTTTGCGTAAACTAGAATATTCACAGCAGTAATCATGCAAGAATTATGAAAGCACCCCAAGGTATCTACCCTTAAGCAAGATCAGTAAACCCAGCTGGTCAGACTGTTATCACGCTGGGCAGCTTTCAGGTGTGAATGTGTGAAACTGTGTTAGTGTAGTCGGGACTTTTGGTGAAGCTTCCCTGAATAAATAGAAATTAAAGAATTAGTTTCTGTGCAATGTTGGACTTTGTTTCATATCCCATGCCAGTGAATTTAGTAAGTAATTTATTTAGTAATAAGTTTTAGTTTTTATATTTGGATAGGATGTTCTTTTTTGTTTGTTGGTTTCTTAGAGTTGTACCGATACCAGTATCGGAAACGCCTCGGATACTGCCTAAAATGCGGTATCGGGTATCGGCGAGTACAGCCTATGACCAATCCGATACCACATAATGCCTCACATCATCACGCATACTCACGCTACAGGCAAACAAAACAGAAACGGAGAGGAGTTTGAAAAGCATTCTACTGTAGCCTTTAAAATGTCTTTTTTACCAAATTGTGTGGCTGCACCGTAACCTGTGTCTTGATCTGTGTCAACACTGGATAATAATAATAAAAAAAAGTTTTATGGCATTCATTCTACTGTTATTTGTTTATATCTTAATATTTTACATAGTTTTAGGAGTTGAGACATACAACAATTCATATCCCATCCATTTTTATTTTATGCACTGGTATCGGATCGGTACTCGGTATCGGCAGATACCTAAGGTTCAGGGATCAGAATCAGTATCGGGAAGGAAAAAGTGGTATAGGTACATCTCTATTGTTTTTTCTAAGTTTCCTAAGTTAATTTTGAAGGGCTTTGTGTTAATAAAAAAATGGTACTATGATGTTGCATTCTTCATTTTTTTTCTTCAACTAACTTGGTTCCTCCAGTGTTAAAACTAATGATGATTGTGTTTCCAATAGGCTCGAGATGTGCGCAACAATGAGGTGGTGGCCATCAAGAAAATGTCGTACAGTGGCAAGCAGACAAACGAGGTAACAAACTGTAAAGAAATATGTAATTTCCTTTTACATTTTAAAGTCCCTTCTCATGCTTCACTTACTCTCTGTAGAAATTATTAAGATATTTCTCTGTTAGGCAATGAAAGGGTCATATTCTACTTATTAACCTCCTCAGTTGGTTTTAAAATGTCTTTTAAAATCTACCTCCATATTATCTCTTAGTCTACAACTGTTAACTGTGAACTCTGGAAAAATGAGTTCATAAAACTCCACCTTCTCACATATTTTTTTCCTTACTACTGTTTTTGACAGAGTAAAATGCTAAAAAATATCAAGATCTGGTCTTGTTATTGTAATTGATGACTAAACTATTTTTTTTTATTGATAATAATGTGTGTATAAATGTGCCGAAAAATACAAGATCAGGACTCACTGAGGGTTTTGTGTTCATGTACAGAAATGGCAGGACATCATTAAAGAGGTGAAGTTCCTGCAGAAACTCCGCCACCCCAACACTATTGAGTATCGGGGATGTTACCTGAAAGAGCACACAGCATGGGTACGTATGGTGTCAGTCAGTGGGAGGGTTGTCATATCCAATAGGATGACCTTATTTAGATGGAAAATTATCTGTAACAAATGTCAGAAAATAGTGAAAAATCTCCATCACAAGTTTCTTCAGCGTCTCCTTAGATAACTGTCTCTGTTCTCTCTGTTCAGATATATTTAATGTGCAGTGATACAAAGGGGGGAAAAGGAGCAAATCCTTACTTTGCGAGCTGGAAACAGCAAACGTACAGCATATTTAATTAATGAGTAACTTTAACACACAACAAAGAGAGAGACCATTGGTGCAATTTTATTCATCCTTTATTATAAGCAGTGGTGGAAAGTAGCTAAGTACATTTACTTGTCTGACACCAGACTGAATTGTCAACTCGTTACACTCCGTTTCCATCTTTAGTCCGACATTGCCTCCACTCTAACTGATTTCTGTTGAGGGGAGTGATTTGATATTCTCTAACCAATCACTAGAGACCAACATATCTGCTTAAATCTAACATCATTTTAAGTCCACAGTGATGCACATCCATGCCAACATACTGGTTTTGCCAAGGTTTTAAGTGTTAAGTGCAGCCAAGTAAAAAAACAAAACAAAAAACATGTCGGACAATATTGAGAATTAGTACAGCCTTGATAGCAGTGTCTATTCTATCTGTTGAGTCACCATTGTTGTCATTACTGCTCATTGCTTCTGGTGCACAGCTTGACAGGGTGGCGCTAATGGGCTAATCTTTAGTCAGCCTTCAGCACTGATTGGATCGATATCTTTTTCAACCAAGAAACCACTGTGTCATGTCATGAATCAGTGAACTCGTAGCGCGGAGATTGAATTTCTGGACCCACCAGGCAATGCATTTACTCAAGTACCATGTGTTTACTCAAGTACTGTACTTAGTACAGTTTTGATTCATTGTTGTGAGGGCTCGTCCTGGGGAGGTAGACTGTACAGCCTAACCCGGCGGGGGAGTGTGATAGCCTAACAAGGCTTCCTTCCCTGGGTCTACCTCCTCTGTGGTAGTATAGGTAAGGTAAAGGAGGTTGTTCGGTTAGTGTGGGGAGCAGTGAGACCTGGCATTAGGGGAGTGTCTCTGGGACGCCAGAGATCACTGTCTAGCCTCCTGGAGGTGTCGTGGGACTAACTAGACGAAACACCGGTGAAAGGAGGTTCCCACCCGATGACCCCAAAGACATGCTAGTTATCACTGCTCACGGGTCTGTATAGTTAAGCCTTGCCATAATAGCTTATCGTAGGGCTTAGGAGGATTATTCACTGAGCGCTGATCCCTTTTTTTTTTTTTTTTTTTTTTATTATTATTAGAGCACAAACTTCTTGTGTTTATTTGAATTGAGATACATAAGTGTGTATTTACTTGAACATTTTCATCGTCTGTTACATTCTGAAAGCAGGACTTTGATTTGTAACACAGTATTTATTAGGGGTGGGAATCTTTGGGCACCTCATGATTCGATTACGATTACGATTCAGGGGCTACGATTCGATTATAAAACGATTATTGATGCATCTTTAATTTATGTATATTGATGCACTTTTTCACAACACACATTTCTTTTTGTCTCACTGAATAAGCATTCAGCACTTGCAATTTTTAAAAACAGTGCATTTGTAATAAGAAAGAGTTGAATTCATTTTCATTATATTTTATTAAACATATAAATGGAAATGCTTGCAAACTGGAAAGTTACAACTTCATTGTACGGAACCAAAGGTAACAACAGGTATCTTAAATCACAGGATAAAATGCGTAGTTAGAGTAACAAATGATTCGGTGGCGACAGATGTCCACGCATCACATGTAACTGCGTTCCTACCTGCCTTCAACAGTGAGGCCATGACTTCTGTTTTGGTTTGGTTGTAGAGTGTCGGTGAAATAGCGTCGGGATGGGATGGTGTATCTGGGCTCCAGTGTATGCAGCAGTGCTCGAAATCCCTGATTTTCCACGACAGAATAAGGACGCAAATCCTTGGCAATAAATGCCGCGATGGCCTTCGTAATTCGCTTTGCCTTTTCCGATGAGGGTGGCAGCTTTCTAATTGCTTCCTCGATTGTTCTCTGGTCGGTAGCGCCACTAGTTGCCGCAGCAACGAGAGCCTGCCGTCTCCCTGACTCCTCTGTCAGGTGGAATCGAGTTACATGGCTTCTCATGTTTGTTGTGTTGCCAAAGTATTTTATTTTAGCACGACACAGCTTACATATAACGTGGCTCTTGTCCAGTTCGCTTCCGCCGTCAACGTTGTAGAAGCCGAAGTATTTCCACACATTTGCTTTTAAATTAGAAGGAGCTGTTCAGCTCTCACGGCGAGGTGGGTAGCGGTCACCCATGTTTGTTTTCCTCTGTACGCGTGTCAGCATGTCTGCTCCAGGTGCGCATCCCAAAGTGTCCCAGAGATGACATGTACCGCGCTTCTTAGTTCCGCATTATTTAGAACCTTCTGTATTACTCTAATTAACAGATTTAAATAATCGAAATTTGGACGTTTGTGAATCGATTCAAATTTGTCCACGTCCGAATCGCGATGCATCTAAGAATCGGAAATTTCCCCCGCCCCTAGTATTTATACACTGTTGTATTGCTGCTTTTACTTAAATAAAAGATTTGAGTACTTCTTCCACCACCGTCTACATCTGTATTGTTTATGCAGTATTATAAATGTTAATGTGAAAAAATTAAAAGTGTGCGTGTGTGTGTTTCTGCTAATCATCATGTTTGACTGTTCCTCCCTCAGCTGGTGATGGAGTACTGCCTCGGCTCAGCCTCGGACCTCCTCGAAGGTCAGTTAAACACTCAAGCACTTAATCAGTTATTAAAACATCATTATTCACCCATCTCCTCTTATTGTTTGTGACTCCTCTTGTCCTCTCCTCCTTGCAGTTCACAAAAAGCCACTTCAGGAAATAGAAATAGCTGCTATTACCCATGGTGCACTGCAGGGATTAGCATATCTTCACTCTCACAACATGATTCACAGGTAACATCTTTTTCACTGTTGTTGGCTCTTTAAATCCTAGCCTTTCTGGCAACAATATAAGAAGAATTATTACTATTCATATATATACATACATATA